GGCAAGTAGTTGTTTTTGATTGAATATTCTGATTGATATAATGTGCATAAACATATTATATTAAATATAGAGGAGAATGCAAATTCTCTACTTCAGAAGATTCTTGTTGTCAAAATCTCATCGTGTGTGTTCGATAGATATTATTCAATGTTCGTCGTGGCATATAGCCAGGAAAATTATTGTTTTTTGTTGAATAAACCTAGAAAGATTTGATATTTTCATCACATAGAGAATGCGAATTCTCAATGTATTTTTTCAAATATGTATTCATTCAATATCTGAAAATATACCTTCCCAATACGCTAACCCAATCAAGGGGTTCAAACTTGAACATAGAATACTTGTTAATAATATAGACCTTCAATCGCAGATCCGTGATAAGGTTTTCTCGATTCAGAATTTCTTCACACGTCCTGTATGATGAATATAAATGAATTATACATTCAAAAATGAATTTACGATTTGGTCGAAATATCTCCACAAATAAAAAAGAATTGATTAAATCATAAGGCAGTCAATCTGAAAAAAATTTGTCTCTATCCGATTTTTTTTTAACGGTGACTGTAGATATACTTCGATGAATATCGAAATAGAAACTGCTTAAGGAATGGGTTATGCAGAACTGTCTTGATCTGCATAACCCATTCCTTAAGCAGTTTCTATTTCGATATTCATCGAAGTATATCTACAGTCACCGTTAAAAAAAAAATCGGACAGAGACAATTTTTTTTCAAATTGACTGCCTTGTAATTTTATCAATTCTTTTTTATTTGTGGAGATATTTCGACCAAATCGTAAATTCATTTTTGAATGTATAATTCATTTATATTCATCATACAGGACGTGTGAAGAAATTCTGAATCGAGAAAACCTTATCACGGATCTGCGATTGAAGGTCTATATTATTAACAAGTATTCTATGTTCAAGTTTGAACCCCTTGATTGGGTTAGCGTATTGGGAAGGTATATTTTCAGATATTGAATGAATACATATTTGAAAAAATACATTGAGAATTCGCATTCTCTATGTGATGAAAATATCAAATCTTTCTAGGTTTATTCAACAAAAAACAATAATTTTCCTGGCTATATGCCACGACGAACATTGAATAATATCTATCGAACACACACGATGAGATTTTGACAACAAGAATCTTCTGAAGTAGAGAATTTGCATTCTCCTCTATATTTAATATAATATGTTTATGCACATTATATCAATCAGAATATTCAATCAAAAACAACTACTTGCCTGGCCATTTGCCACGTCGAACATTGATATAATCCAATGTTCGACGTGATATTCAGACTAGCATAATGAGAACAATTTTCTTGATGCTCATACTTTCAACTACGCAGATATATATTGAAATAGTTGTTCACCCAACAAGTGTGGAAAGTGATGCTTTCCTGCACGTGTTAGTTATAGTTACTAATTTTTTCACTAGAGTGAGAAAAACAAACAGAATTCAACATAAAGAAACATTAAGAAATATATATTACCATCTAATATTCAAATATCAGTATATACTCCTAAGAAACAAATTCACTTTACCGCACTATTGCGGAAAAACCCTCCTACGACGCCTCTATCAACACTGGAATGAGTGCAGAAAATGGTCTTTTCTGCATGCTAGTAGAGGAAGATATCATATCAAGGTAGGTAGATCATTCATGAAGTTTGAATCATAAAGAAAAAAACCAATAATAACTAATTTTGAAAATTGACTTGAGTTTTGCTTCAAAAAGGATTATAAATAGCCTATACAGAGCCATGCTATATCTCATTTTTTTTATCAATTGCTGAAAATAGGAATCGTTTTGACCTGTTGGATTCGAATATGTAAGAATATACAGGGTGCTTCATCTCGTTAAAAAAAAAATGCTGGCACTTCCAGAATGCTCCGCCATTTTGAATAATCGTTATTTCATCATATACAGTCTGTCCAAGATAAGGTTGCACAGCATGGGGATCTCGGAAACGGTAGGAGATACGAAGTCGGTTAAATGGGGAAAAAGTTGCGCATTCGGAGGCTCATACCAACAGCCTTCGAAAATTTTGAAATTTTTTCTTTGTTTCTCAGTTATATCGAAAATAGTGAATTTTTGGAATATCTATTTTATTTTTTTTCTCCGTTATTATTAGAGATACAGGAAAACTGAGAATACTTTTCGATAGCAACTTTCGATGACGTTCAACGTGGTGATACCGATTTTCCTATGCGACGTTTCGTATTCGTAGAACCATCATCAACTTTTGTTTTTTAAATACGGCCCTGATAATTCTTTCACAGATTCTGAAAGCTTTCTTATTCTGAATTCAACCATGTATTATACAAGGTGGTTTGATTGTGTTTCGAACTATTTTTAGCCATCATCAATGTTTTTTTCGAAATTCCAAAGGAAAAATGCCATCAGTTTCACTTATTTCTGATTATTCAGTGTCGAACATTGATGGACTAGTTATTCAATACTGAAAAGTGAAAAAAAATCCACTAAACTATTCAATGCAGCGCTTCGAATTGTTTATGAATTGTATTCATATTTTAATCCGAAGGAGCTTGCCATAATTAAATTTTTCGAACTAATTATTCCTATAAGTCTATCAATCGGAACTAGTTGATGAGATATTAGTTTGTTGGCTAATTTTCCTTCGAAATAAGTGAAACCGATGGCATTTTTCCTTTGGAATTTCGAAAAAAACATTGATGATGGCTAAAAATAGATCGAAACACATTCAAACCACCTTGTATAATACATGGTTGAATTCGGAATAAAAAAAGCTTTCAGAATCTGTGAAAGAATCATCAGGGCCGTATTCAAAAAACAAAAGTTGATGATGGTTCTTCGAATACGAGACGTCGCATAGAAAAATCGGTATCACCACGTTGAACGTCATCAAAAGTTGCTATGAGAAAATATTTTCAGTTTTCCTGTATCTCTAATAATAACGGAGAAAAAAAATAAAATAGAGATTCCAAAAATTCACTTTTTTCGATATAACTGAAAAACTAAGGAAACATTTAAAAAATTTCGAAGGCTGTTGGTATGAGCCTCCGAATGCGCAACTTTTTCCCCATTTAACCGACTCCGTATCTCCTACCGTTTCCGAGATCCCCATGCTGTGCAACCTTATTTTGGACAGACTGTATATCCGGAATGGTATGTACCATATTCCAGAAAAATCTGATTACGAATGCAGAAGTTGAAGGAATAGCCCGATACTCTGTGTAACCCGGAAAGATATATCTTCAGTATCCATATAGAAAACAACAGAAGATGCAATTTCCATACAAATATGAGAAAAGTATAGAACGATATATGCTAATTCTTTTCTTCTTGTGATCAAAAACTAGTTAGAACGTCTAATTGAGTTGAGTAAGCTTGTATCATTTCGAATATACGTGAATATACATAGATAAACTCTACAAGGTGAAAATTCCTATTGATTGGAATTTCTTGTCAAAATAGAAATGTACAATTTGTTCAATCGAGAACTCAAATTTTGTAGAAAATCTATAAACATTGTGTACATGCTTTCTCGAACATGTTTCATATTTCTGAGATATTTTGTCAGTATATAATTCAAAGGGGAATTATAAAATATTTACATAATCCAGTGTGGACCTGATGGATTGACACCAACCCAGACAGCACCAGATATTCCATGAATCTCCCTATCATATTCCTATTGGAATATTCTAGAAATAATCTGGAATATTCCGGAATATCTGTGGAATATTTTCTAAATATGCGAATGGGAATTCCTCAGATAATCATAGAATATACCCAGAACAATATTCTATGTTGAATGTTCTTGGAATATTCCAATGAACATATTCTAAAATTGAAAAAAGTGACCCAAGTAGGGATCGAACTCGTGACCTCAAGACTATCAGAGCAACGCCTTGACCACTAGGCCAGTAATCGAATTGAATAATGTTATACATATCAAGTTCTTGTGAGAGCATTGTTCGAAATCGGATCATAAACACTTTTTGTTTCAAAATCCCCTTACATCTAATTGATGTTCGATACTCACATCTCTGAAATAATAAATGGTGTTTATGTGTTGAGAAACAGGAATATTCCTGGAATATTTCATGAATATACACCACAGAATATTCAGTTGTGAATATTTCATGAATATACCGCACAGAATATATTCAGTTAGGTATATTTCATGAATATACAACAGAGAATATTCACTTGGGAATATTCCAGAAGATTCATACCTGAATATTTCCTGAACATGTCCGACTATTCACTTTGGAATATTCCTTTCAGATGTTCCAGAGGCATGTATATATTCTAGGAATAATCGATGAATATTCGGAATATACTACTCCTTTTTAGCATATTTAGAGAATATTCTATGAATATCCAGTGCTGCCTGGGAAGTTGTGTAGACCTGAAGTTAAAATCAACTAAAAAATGTTCATCGTGCACCAACCAGAAATTCAGGATCATAACTTTCCATAGTCACCAATTCATATTATTGTAACATACAAACAAAGCGCGTCAACAAATTTTTACGTTCAGAACTGCTCAAAAATAATTGCATCGAATGCAATTTGAACTTCTAGACTTCAAGGTTAAACATCTCAAGCTTTCTGCACCATTACAAATCGTGTCACTAGAACACACAATCTTTGTTATTATTCAACAAGTCATCGATATATATTCTGAACTGCTTATAGTATTACTATTAATTGTAATGAATATATCACTGTGACCATGATAAAATATTTATATGATTACTTATTTCGATGGAAATTGTTCGTTAATCAGGATAATATATTTACCAGACATCTGAACTTCCTAGCAGATAATTTCTAATGAACAAGACAATAATAACTCAAGAATCATATCTTTTGATAAGATAGCTCATAAGCTGTCTAACATGCAGTATATTAGTATAATCATAAAGACTCGCTCGGAGAGTATGCGTTGATCTTCTTGAGATGATTTTATGAATATGAATGAATAAACAGATCCTTATTCTATTGAAACGATTTCTGAGTTACAGGAGGAGCGATTCGAATAAAAAAAATACATGCAAACTGGGCTGATGATTTCAACAGTGCTTGAAGTACCTGGCACTAAAGGAGCTGAACTTCATGAGGAGTGAGTATTATGAAATAAGGTCATATTATCTTCCTAACAACCATATTATAGCATCCCAATTTTTTTGTTATTATTTCATCCACACCTGGCTGCACCTATCAAGCTCCATGATTGAAGTAACATGATATGCGATATCAGCGGCTACTATAAGGTGAAAAAACAATATGAGCGGCTTTTCTGATCGATAGCATGAGGGTATTATGATAAATGTCAAAGATTGACATATATCAGTCACTAAAGAATTGAAATGTTTCGTTTTGGGTCAATTTCTCCTACAGAAATCAGTAATTATGTAGGCGAATCAATACTAGGAAATACCAATAAGAGTAAAGAGTCTCTCTGATACAATTTATATTTTTTTGACAGCAGAAAATCTGAATTTTGTGCGAATGTCGAAATTCTCCTGATCACAGAAATCCAAAAAATGTCCCGTATTGTCATATTTTCCTGATTTGAAACCTTTCTTTTTCGGTTTTTGTGGAAGCCTTCTAGGGACACCCTGTATATGCAGTCTAATCAATAATACCTGCCCCCTTATCAACCTCCACAAGTCCATTTCAATCAAATTGAAATTATCACTGGATTCATTAATCAGGAATAAATCACGAATGTCATACGGATAATATTTTATTCTACAAAAATATATTGTACTGTCTACAAACAGGGTTGTTTCAAACTTGGCTATCCAACATTAGGTCTGACCAATATTTTCGGTGATTCGAATAAAATGTTGTATTCTCTTCTAATGTAGAACAGGAAAACAACCTTCTGATATTTTCAATTCGATTATGGAGGAACCCTGGAAAAATAATTTCAAATAGAGAATACACAAACACATTTTGACTTTGTTGAATGTTTTTGATTTGAATCGCTATTAGTTAACCTACCTTGTTCTCAAAACTCTTATTCATTGGTATATATATAGATAGTTGTTTTCAAGTAGTTGTATCAGCTATTGTTACATACCTGTGCTCTTTTCTTCTTGACCTACTTCGAGTTGAGAAAATGTGATGATACCAGCTGTAAAATTCTTGTGAATACCCATTGTAGAATAATCAAGTATATAAATGAATAAAAGGGTGCTCACTCGGGTTCTCAATAAATAAACACTCAGAGAAATAGTCGGTAGTGAATACCAAACGTTTAGTACAATAGGCGCCAGTCACTACATTCATCAATTAATACCACTACAAAGTTGTAATAAACTAAACTATGAGTATTATATTATTTTGTAATGGTAATATTAAATTTGATATAGTATAGTATTATATAATGTTGTAGTGGTATCATTCAATGAAAGTTGTGACTGGCGCCTACTTTACTAAACGTTTGGTAATAACTACCATCTGTTTCATTTTTCAGTGAAGGACCCCGTGCACTAAGATCGCATACGATTCATATTATTCAAATTTGATATATCAAAATGGAAGATAATTGCAAATAAAAAAAAGTTTTTCAACAAAAACATAAAATAACGGGTTTTTACAAAAGGGATTTTCTTGTGCGCTTATGCAAGCGCTACTTAAAGAAGAATATCAGCACGTGTTTGAATCTTTTATAATGGGGTTAGAAAACACTGAAAATAATGTCAATTGATAACGTAAACAAGATGTTGACAAGAGTCAAAGTCAATGTCATGGGACAAAACATGAAATAATTCTTTCAAATCAATCTTTCCGTATTGTAGATTTTTCAATTATGCTGAAGATTGTCTTTTATGAGACCGAAACATGTCCCTCCTGATTGTGTATCAACACCTTAAAGATTTGTGGGGATGACCTCGAGCATCCCTTCCTTCCTTTGAGAAAATAAACTATTAGGTTTGAAAAGATGTCGAATCTTATTGTCCATGAAACAAGATCGATAATAATGCATCAACTTCTTATAATATCAACGCGAAAATTTTATGAAACCTTTTTTTTCAGTATCAAGAAATCATCATGGAAGCTGTGGAAAACCAGAAGATACATTATAGCTCTACTAGGATTCGGAGGATTCTTCATGATGTATGCCTTGAGAACCAATCTCAGCATTGCAATAGTACCAATGACTGAAATGAAAAACATCACATCACAAAATGGTACAATCATACAGGTGAGATTACCTGTATTGTATTGCATGAGGGGCGAATACACTGCAATCTGAGAAATCTATTGTGCCCCTGTCTTCCACTATACCCGATGAGTTTGTTCTTTGTATTTATATAGCAATTTCAAGTTCTATATCCTTCAATAATTTCAGAATATCAGGTGGTTCCAGGCAGGGAACCTCCTCCTACTCTTTCATGTGTACTCCTAGAATTCATGCCTCTTCTGTCCAACAGAACCTGCATTCGACTTCCTCTGCTAAGCCAAGCTTCCTAAGATGTTTTTTCATCTGGCAGTGCCCTGTTAGTACCCTCGTTGGTATATGAAATTTGTTTTTGCATAGGCTGTCATATGCATTTGATCATTTGTGGTTGTGATATTATATACCCAGTAGTATCATAGCCTGTCTGACCCCTCGAGGATTTTCACAGAATGATGTCTGATCTATATGCAGCGAGTTTGTCCGCTACTTCATTTCCTTATATTCTGGTATGTCCCGGAACCCATATAAAGGTGACTGTATTCCTGGAGGCTAGCTTGTCTTGAAATATCCAAACCATTCTAGAGTTAACAAGCATTGAGCTCAGCACTTCAATAGCTGCTTGATTATAGGAGATAATAATGACATCCCATCTTCCATAACTTTCTCAACACATTTTCCTAAAGCGTGAACTTTCCTCTGAAATTTGCTCGAGAATTTGCCAAGCCTTCTGAAATACTCGGTACGAGATAACCTGTAAAGCATAAATGAAGTGAAGATCTCAAGACTGTGGTTGATCCCAAGAAACACAAACATCCTTGGGATGTCACATCCATGTCTCGCTACGTAACAATGAAGATAATTACAATAAAACATCATTGGTATTGTCAGGGTAATTTTTGTTTCTCAAAACATTCGCAATATTTGTTACATTTTATTGGATTTGAGACTGAAAATTTGAGTGATTTTGTGAGGCTTCCTAACAACCAAGAGACTCACTGGAAAATCGCATTCTTGTCTATTTATGTTGTAACAGACGAAATCAATAAATTTTGATGTTGAATGAAGAGTCGCTTGATACGTACTGTGAGTTTCATTTGGCATTATAATGTGAATCATAAAATGACAAAAATGGGTCCATAATAGCAGTCATTTTGATTTCAGTGGATCTCTTATTTCGAGTCTGAAATAAATTTGTGTCAACTGAGATATTAATATTTACATCATATCCTCTCATAAAACTATTGTATTTCAATTGATTATATTTTGTTTTTGATATTTTTGTTGTATGTTGAAGAAGAGAGAATTCGATTGGGACACACAGACTCAAGGATACGTGTTGAGCTCCTTCTTCTATGGCTACATATTGACCCCGATTCTGGGAGGCTATTTGGCAGAGAGGTTTGGAGGAAAGAAAACACTCGCTGTTGGGATTGGTGTAACATCTTTACTCACTGTCATCACACCATGGGTTGCTAGAATTAATGTGTACCTATTTATACTTATTAGGACACTAGAGGGAATATTCGAAGTGAGTATGGTAAAGTATTGATAATGTCAATTATCATGGAAAAATTAGAAATAATAAAATCGTGATCAGCAATTATAATAGTGTTGTTGAGAACTACAATCGTGAGAATATGAACAATAGCAGGTCTAGATATCTGATGATTCCGAGGATTTATATTCGGATATTTTTTATTTCCATCTGGAATATTTTTGCCAATGCATTGTGCCACTTTCATTTACAAGTTGGAGCAACTTCGATGATGTGAATGATACATCCTGTACAAAGGGTGATCAATAATGAGCCTATACATAGGAACGGTGGGAACCTGACATCAAATATATTTAAAATTCATCATGTTACAAAATTGATGAATTGAATGAAGTTAAATATTACACAAATTCAGATACAGTATTGTTGATGTCCAATTCATGAGCTCAACGATGAGCGATTGGAATAAATAATTTTCCAATTCATACATTTATTCTTCTCAAAATCAACGTACCAGTTCATCTACTATATTTGACATGAGATAAGTTATTGCCTAAAGTACATCCGTAAACATAACATTTTTGTGGTGTGAGAAGAATATGAATGTTGTTAAGAGGGAAGTGTATTTCAATATGATTGATAAAATATTTCAACTTCACCACCCAACTTATCAGAATTTTCTGAAGTCATATTCGCCAAATTGAAAACTGAAATCAATTCGTATCTCGAAAATGGATTCAGTAAGGTTTAGAAAAATATGAAATATATATTACATACAGGGTATTTCATTCGAGATATCGCATTTGCTACTACTTTCTGATAGTGGCAACACCACATTGTGAAATATATTCAAGTTCGGTTGAGAGTTGAATATCATGTCCACGAAATTCTCAAGGTGATTTTTGGAATGGTTTATCAAAAACGTCTAATATAGGAGTAACAAAATCCTGAAAGTAGGAGTCGCCGGGTTATAGTCCAGCCCCACCCCTCCACTTTTCTCCAAACCACGTGACTCGGCCGACAAATCACAGGCCGGCCTGACTCGGCCAGCTACTCGCGGCCCTGCGAACGGGTCGACGTGACGTCATCATCGGCTGGACTGCGATAGATCTGTTCTAGAGATAACGGCGCGCATTTCATTCCATTTTTTCACTTAACAACGGCTATATACAGGGTGTTTGAGTTGGGTAATAGTTGGGAAAAAAAAATTAAGGGTGAACCCAAAAAGGCGTTATACCTCTCCGAAGAGTAGACTACCTACATATAAAGGCTACCTGCTATAACATGATATATACAGGGCGTTTGAGTTGGATAGCAATTAAAGAAAAAAATATACTGGACGCCTCACCCACTTTTGCGGGATTAGACAGCTGACGTATTACATAAGACATTTGACAGTTAACAAAGGATTGATGACACGTGACTAGATGACCTGCAAGTAGACTACCCGCTACCTAATAATTTAATATACAGAATATTTGAATTAGCAATAGCGATACAAAAGTATATATAGGGGTCTCACAGGTAGACTCAGCAAACAAACGTATGACAGAGTATCTGTTTGATATACAGGTTGTTTGAATAGCAATACAAACTCACATAGGGCACTCATGGCCTGACGTTTGACATTTTGACAGATGACCAAAAACGCTATCATACATCAATACTAGACAAACGATACAATGTTTTCGAGGTTATGTTCCATTTCAGACATTCGGTATAGCAAATTTATTTATTCTTTCTAGTTTTCTGGATTTGTGTGTTGTTATGTAATGGGTAGTATAAAGAAAAAACCCCCAATGGTATGTTTCAACCCGTACAACATATACAATATAATAATATAATGCCACTGAATGATCAAGACCTCTATGTCATGTCGACATGTTAATATTTGGCAGGGATAATCAACACTTAGGAATATTATACATATAGTGACCCCCTAAAAAAAAAGGTATTTCTTTTCGAGCCACCCTGTTTAACATTGGCATTTTCAGTTCGGAGAAGATTAAAAGGAAAAGTATTCGAATATTTAATAATTCATGAAAGGTGACTGAAACAGCCCGAGATTACGATTTCCTGCCCCTCGGCGCGATTTCCTGTGTGTTTACATGATAACATTAAGTCGCTCTAGGAGTATTATTATTTCATTCTTTAGTTGGGTTGGATATTCAGGATGATTCAGTGCGTTTTCATTGCCAAAAAATCTGTGCGTGTGTGTGTGTGTATGGGAAAAAAATTACAGAGGTCCCGCGCATGAGAGCTGCAACGTTTCGATACCTGGATTGTCATGTGGTGCCTGTAAAGTTCCAAAATTTGAGTGGAAATGACACAAATTTCATCATCGGAGATATAGGATCCAAAATGCATGTCCAAGGCTGATTTTTACCAAACACCACCACCAAAGAGAATATATATCCTTCACTAAAACACAACGAGGATGCATGCACTGGCTTCCGCTTGATCGCATCGTTTCGCTTCATGAACTTTTCTCTGGATATACTGTGGTAATAAGTTGCCTATTTCCTACTTTTTGTTGTACCTCTCACGTAAAATTCCCCACGATTCGTGACAGAGCCCTTGATGCTTTTTCCGAAACAATGTAGTCTGTGATAGGTAGCTAATATATGTGAAAAGACCCGAACACTATAGTTATTGTTTCTTAGCGGTGAATTATAAAAAAAAAACCATTGAACAGAGTTGAGAAATTTTGTAAAACGCGTAACAGAAATGTTGGGGTAAAGAAAAAAAACAAACATTTCAAGAAATCTGTGTATGGTAATTCGATGTACAGGGTGTTTCGTAAAACATTAGGATTTTCAGTTTCATATTTTGCTAGATTTTCGGCTGACGAAAGAGTATACATCTGAAATAGGATTTTATTCATATACAGGGTGTTTCATACATCATTAAGATTTTCAGTTTTGAATTTTCAGCTTACCATAGTAGGAATTTTATTTTCATAGAGGATTGTCTTCGTAGTAGGGAGATTAAAGACAATAGATTTCAACTGATTGTTCACAATAATTGTTGCAACTGTCATCTTTGAGACTCATTCCATTAGTTTAGGGTCTTCAGAAAAAAAAGTTTATCAATTCCAAATTATAATGTATATAGGGTGTTTGACTGTCTGTTTTGAAAAATATGCAGAGCATTTAGAAAAAAAAAGTTTTCAAATCAAATAATTGAGTATAATGGATGTTTTCGGTTGTCTGTTTGATGAAAAATATACAGGGTCTTTTGAAAAAAGAGTTTCTCAATTTCAAATTACAAAGTATAATGGATGTTTTGGCTGTCTATTTGAGGAAAAATATACAGGGTCTATAGAAAAAATCATTCAATTTCAAATTATCAAGTATACAGGGCGTTTGACAGGCTGATTTGAAAAATATACAGAGCATCTATCAAATATTTTATTGACAAACGAGATAATCACAATCTATATCATTTTATATTTTTTTCTTGAAACAATCTTCACACCATGCTGTGAAAATGTAGGCGCCTATCCCTTTTCTATCAGTGGTGTAGTGTTCGATCACATGACGAACCCCCTCTTTGCGGCAGAAAGAGCAGAAACTAGGTTTGCAGTCACTGCAATTGCATGGTCTACCCCAGGCACAGTTTGGCATTGCTGATTACGTCTGTACTGTTGGAGAGCTGCCGAAATACTGAAGTCATACATTGATATTAACCAGTTCGTATAAGTCCTGAAACATAGTATGAATAGCTTTGTTTCCACACCACCCTCGGGGTAAAAGCCTTTTGGCGCGTTTTGCTTTTTTTCTTCGTTCTGAATGTGGATAAAAGCATTCCCCTTTAGGCCTATACAAAACCACATACACTCTAAAGATTGGGGGTGAATAATTCATTATAGAACAGATGACTGTTGATATATGAAATCAGAGCAGTTTTTGTTTGTTCTATATCTAGCTGCACGAAGATCGATTTCTAAATCAATAGAAACACTTCATCAATTTGCCAGATAATATCCATTGTTTATTTCTTCAGTAGAACAGGTGACTGTTGAAATATAAAATCAGAGCAGTTTTTGTTTGTTCTATTTGTAGCTGCACGAAGATCAATTTTTAACTTAATAAAAACACTTCATTAGTTCGCTACAAGGTAAGGCCTTTTTTTTTTTCTCTCATTGAACCAATCACCTCAAATTTTCAGAGTAGCCGTGAAAACGGCTGATTTGATCAAGAATTCATTGTATAGATCCGGTCGTGATAACGATTGCTTTTACTTTCTTTCTCTCGAGCTTTGTGCCGGATATTTTTAATCGAATTTTACACAGAACGCTGATAAAAAACTTCAATCGCAATTTGTTTATCACTGTCTGATAAAGAGAAAAGAAAGGAATGACGATGCTGTGATTCATAGAATATTTATAATGATTTCCTCTTTTTGAAACCGTAAGGTACAGAAGTGTGATCTTCGAGAAATTTCCGCATCAAGCTTACAGGCTTGTACTTTCTGGTTACATCAACTGTGATGACCTCATGTTCCTTGGTTCGACGAAACTGTTTGCTCAAAATTTCGACAGGGGAACCAGGGTTCAGAATCATATCTTTAATTGATTCAAAATTCACAAACTGTGAAGCAGCATAGTTAAGGGAGAGGCCTTTAACTTTGCACACAACTTTGAACTCTTGATCCTTGGTTGCCCATAGCTTGTAAGCATAATTTTTGGGGCCACCAGATACAAACTCTGTGATATGGGAACCAGGGCCGTAACATTCCATTTCATCGGTCATATCACCAATAAATTGACCAGTGGGAATGTCGAATTCCCCTTGTCTAGAAACATAGATAACCGAGTCTGTGTCGTAGTATAACACCCTTTCCCCAAGCTGCTGTAAATAGCTGTAAAGTTTCAACCGAGCTAAGGCTGTTACATATGCAGCAATTACAACATTGACTGTGGAAAGAGTGTCATAGCTCTCCTCCTTATACTCCCAATAAACAATGATGGTATCTTCGTTTATCGGGAGTACTGTATTGACAATAAGGGAAGGATCAGTCATCATCGAAAA